CCAGAACCGTTCTGTTTCCCAAGCGGGAATCAACTGAAAGCGGAACTGAAGAATCTGGAAGACTCCATCCGTAACATGGAATGGGTGTCTTCCAACCCCTCTCCCCCCGGTCTAAGGTCTAAGTCACTCGAAAAACTTCCTCAGAACTTACGACCGAGAAAAATCAAAGGTTTTCCTTGATTTAAGTAAAAACAATCTTCGGATTGTCACGGGGTCTCTAACAGGACACTGTCTCCTCAACGAACACCTCAGTAGGACGAAGCTGAGAAACAACGGCGAATGCAGATTCTGTGGGGAAAATGGGGAAACGCCAGAACACCTTATCAGTGCGCCAAGACGTGTCATGAACTTTGGTACGGCTGATGTTGAGGACAAAGAGCTGGCCTCTGTGGAGGCCGTCTCAGATACTGGCTTTTTTTAAAGCCCTGAGACTGTATGATGAAGGGGAACACACAATAAATCTGTAAGGTCGCGGTGATTAACTCCCCTCCTAAACATTCTACAGTCTACAGAAACAAGACCGGAGAGATCGAAACAAGAGAAAAGTAGAACTACCAAGTACCCTGTGGATGCGGTGACTTGTATATTGGAGAGATAAAACGTCCTCTAAATTTTACATTTGACATAAAAAAATTACAGATACAACGAATAAAAATAACTTCATAAATATCTTATTAGCTGAATACACACTAACAGTTTCATCGTCCGATTTGGTCAATTTATCGTTGAATTGCAGAAATTGTAACGGAAAATCTGCTAGTTTATGTCATAAAGGAAATTTTAATTTTGGCTGACAAATAATTTGAGACAATAATTTCGTCTAGTTATCTAACACAGCGATTAAAATGGCAGACAAATCTGTCGCGAATTATCAACAACCTCACAACGATAGTAAATGTTGAAAAGAATCTTCATCCAGGCATAGCTAGTTATTTAAAATCGTCAGGCTCATCTTTTTGCAGCTGCTTTATCAGCTGCACAAGGTGTAATTGTTTTCTCAATAACCATGTTTTAATCCATTCGGTCTGTTTTTTATTCCCTCGGCGTCATTTTATAATCACTTAACCAATCATTCAAATTAATGCAACGCTTTATAAATCGTTTTTTCATTCATCGTAGAGTGATTGAAAGTAGTACATCTAGGAGTAACAATTAAAACGCTCAGGTTTTCTGGAATTCCGAAAAATCAACGATTACGGATAAATCGTACCAAATTTAAGGATAAATGTTTGTGAACGACACATACGCAACGAATAAACACTCAGATAAACTTTATATGATAATTCGCTTCAATAAAACTTTGCATTAGTGTCATCACTAAGGTTTGTCTGATTGATTTGTCTTATCGATTTATCTAAAAACTATTTGGTACAATTTATTGCTCCCAATAAGTCTTTACGTGTGTATTCAGCTATTTAAATCAATAAAATGTAAGATAATACTTTATAGTATATATAGTATACTAGTGGAAAGAAAAGACATTCTAGTAAATAACACAACACTGAAAATAGTAGAAGAATATACAGGGTTGTTCACCACATACGACACACGGAGTATTGTAGCTAAACGATTAGATTTTTACAAATTGTAAGTTTTGGGTTCGTTGAAGAACTATTAGAGCTACAATTTAAAAATATGTTTACAATATACAGAGTGTCCCAAATAAGTAAAAAATATTATAGTTGTATTTTTTTTAATGGAACACCCTGTACATTATTCTATTTTTAGATTCTACGATTAAAATAAAGATAAATTTGATTAAGGTTTATCACACTTAAACCTTACCGTTTTTGAAATATTCTCAATTTTATAAAATTGCAGTAAATATTTTAAGGCTTCATTTCTCCAAGGGTATCAAAGTTTTTAATACTAAATATTTACTGAAGATTATTTATTGATCAGATATTGTGTTACAATAATAAAAATTGTACTACCTTATACAGAGTGTCCAAAAATTTATATTAAATAATTACTAGCTTTAAACGGCAATAACTTGTTTAATTTAAATGGAACACCCTGTATATTTTACGTGAATCATATGCACAATTTAATTGTCTATCAAATTGTATTATACCGTTTTTTACCCATCTCTTCAAGTTTTCGTAGAAAATGCATTTTCTTATAATTTAGACCTCATTAATCACTATATCCATGGAATATTGACATTTTAGATTATTTTTAAAGATGTAACAAATTTTCAAAGAGTACAGACACTAATACTATCGATATAGTTCGCTTATTTCGTTAAAAAATTAAATAAAAGCTGTTTAAATATTTTTTGTTAAAGAGGACCAATTAATATGATCCCGGTATTCAAACTACATTAATTGATTGTTTACGTTGATTAATAATAATTGCTCCAAAACTGAAAAACTGAATTTTGTGTGTATGAGACACTGTGGTAAAAAGTAACACTTTATAAATTTTATTTCATTTTTTGACGAATGCTAATTTATAAAAACAGAGACGTTCATTTTCAAAACTTATTATTATATTGATTTCTGAGCCAAATCCACATTTATTTAGAATACTTTATTAATTAAAACAATTTAAAAGTATGTTAGTAACTAATTTTTGGTGGGAAATAATGGTGGTATATTTAATTGGTATACCCTTTTACAAAAATTTAAATAGTTTTTTTCTATACCAACAGGCTTGCAATATTTACCACCTGTATATTTTGTACATATATGTTGCTTTAAAAAAATCTGAAATGTGAATATTCCATGGGTATAGTGATAAATGAGGTCTAAATTATAAGAAAATGCATTTTCTACGAAAACTTGAAGAGATAGGTAAAAAATGGTATAATATAATTTGATAGACAATTAAATTGTACATCTAATTCTTCTAAAATATATAGGGTGTTCCATTTAAATTAAACAAGTTATTGTCATTTAAAGCTAGTAATTATTTAATATAAATTTTTGGACACTCTGTATAACGTAGTAAAAATTTTATTATTGCTACATAATATCTGATCAATAAATAATCTTCAGTAAATATTTAGTATTAAAAACTTTGATACCCTTGGAGAAATGAAGCCTCAACATTTCTACTGCAATTTTATAAAATTGAAAATATTTCAAAAACGGTAAGGTTTAAGTGTGATAAACCTTAATCAAATTTACCTTTATTTCAATCGTAGAATCCAAAAATAGAATAATATACAGGAGGTTCCATTTAAAAAAATACAACTATAATATTTTTTACTTATTTGGGACACTCTGTATATTGTAAAAATATTTTTAAATTTTAGCTCTAATAGTCCTTCAACGAACCCAAAACTTACAATTTGTAAAAATCTAATCGTTTAGCTACAATACTCCGTGTCGTATGTGGTGAACAACCCTGTATATATATTTGGGACAACTAATACACAGCTCGGGATCTCTAATACCAGAAATCAACAGAAGAATTAAGTTAGCATGGAGTACTTATGGAAGAAACTCAATCACATTCAAATCTAGAATGCCACTATATCTAAAGAAGAAAACATTCGACCAAAGTGTACTACCAGTCATGACGGACATCATAACGAAACTACCGGTCGCACAACGCTCAATGGAACGAAATACGCTGGGAATAACCAAGAGAAACCGTAACAGACCCAGGTAATAGATGTCATCAGATGAACGGACAACAAATGGACCACAAAAATTATGGTACCCAAGAGGAATTAAGAGACCTAGAAGAAGACCGAACCTGAGATGGGACCATGATATCAAGAAATTAGCAGAGATAAAGCTTCATTCAAAAACTCGCAATTAGTGGAATAAATTAGTGGTTTCAATTAGTGTAGAAGTTTGTTCACCTATTTTTAATGTAAGCATTCAAAACGTCATAATTAGTGGTAGCAATTTTCATTTAGTCGAAAAAGTTAACAAACTTTTGACTTTTCCACTAAATATACTTCAAAATTTGCGAGGAATGTAATTTTGGCCTTTGATTATCATCCGTCAAGAAAAATTTTGGTTAGAAATCAAAAGTTTATTGCTTTATAAGCTAAATATTATGCTTTCTCTATGGATACAAACAGACTACCGCAAGCTGTTGCTAGGATATTTTATTAATTTTAATTTTGTTTTTTTAGACATTGTGAATGATCATGAACTAAAAAGTATAAAGTGTAATTGAAACCACTAATTGGGAGGTTCTGAATGAAGCTTAAGTTGGGCCCGCATAGCCAACGATAAACAATGGGCCCAACTACAAAGAGAATATCTCAATGTGTGAGGGAGGCTACACCATAATTGGAAATGGTTGAATAAGCTGAAAATGATGATAATAAATAAATTAATACTTTATAGGACAAATTATAACATGAAAAAGAATAATTACAATAGAAAACTAAGGAAATAGAATTTGCGGGACATTAAAATTCGCCTTGGAAAGGAAGCACTCAAACGAAACTGATAAATTTAGGACGTCGTTTTATTTTACCAGGAATCTGAGATTTCCAAACGGGGCGATTAAGCAATTAATCGAAGAAAAAAGATGGTTGAACGTAAAAGAATCTGATGGACCGATAAATTTGTTCAATCTCCAATCCAGTAGCATTTCTTGCTCCGATTTTATTAAATTTCGTTTCAGGCAAATTTATCAATTCTGTTTCAATAAATGATTTTGTTTTCTCATTATAAATTTTCCTGTTTTTATTTTTTTTTTAGTGTTTAAATATTATTTTGTAACTATTTCGTTGCTTGGTTGGGATATACAGGGTGAGTATTAAATAAGAGCCAATATTATTAGGGGTAGTATATTTTGACCCCTGAAACACGTCTATGAGGCGAACACGTTTTTTGGCGAAAACATTTTTTGAAAATTTAGAATTTTTTGAAAAAATTTTGATTTTTTTTAGTTTTTAGTTAAAATAGATAATTTGTTGATGATATGGCAACATGTATTACATATATACATGCGGGTGTTTTTACGACTAGTGTCGTTTCCATAAAGTGACGTTTCCAAACATAAATTCCGGTCCCACCAGTCGCCATTTCTCAGGTCGCCAGTCTTTTAAGCATGGCTTCCTGTACATCATCCTGCCATGTTCTTGCTGGTCTTCCACGTTTTCTTCTCTCTACTGGGATCCAGTCCCTTACTTCTTGGGTATTCTCAAATCTTCTATTCTTTGGAGGTGGCCAAACCATAGCAATCGCTTGGATTCTATCCAAGATGGTTCCATTTACTTGCATCTGCTCTCTTATACAAACATTTCTTACGTAATCTAGGCGAGATGTTCTGCTACTACGCCTCCAATAGTCCATTTCAAGTGCAAGTAATCTATCTTTGTTTCTCCTTGTGAGTTCCCACGTCTCCGATCCGTAGGGACAAACAGATTCAAAGATACAGTTGTACATCATCTGTTTTATTCTTCTTGATATTCTATCGCTCCAAAGAAGAGAGTTCAGTTCCCTAATTATTCTTCTTCCCTGTCCAATTTTATTAGATATATTCTCATTGCTTTTGCCATCTGAGGAAAGAGTTACTCCAAGGTATTTAAATTTGGAGCAGTGTTTTATTGTTTTGCCCATACCAATATCCAAATCACTATGATCGTCGTTTCCTGCAGACATGTATTCCGGTCCTACGCAGTCTTTTTCATATTTACAATCAATCCAAATTATTCCAACTCTTTCTCAAGCACCCTCAGCATGTTGCTAGCATCATCTCGATCTCCTGTTCTCGATCAAAACTTGGCCATCGGCGAAGAGAAGAGTATAGAGCATAGAGTCCCCGATTGGTAAACCCATTCCACCACATCTTCTTTTCCATTTTTTCAGAGCCTCTTAGACATATATCTTAAAGAGTAGAGTGGCTCACGAACATTCTTGTCTGAGTCCCTTGGAAACAATAAATTCCTCAGAAGAGTTTCCGCCCATTTTAATGTACCACAATAAAGTTTTTAATGTTCCACAATAACGTTTTTTGACTGCACTAATATAGACTTCATTGATACGATTTTTTTTCCATTGCTGGTCATAGCTTGTTCAATGGCACGGTATCATAGGCCTTTTGCAAGTCAATAAATACTAAATGTACTTCTCGCCCTCGCTCGACTCTTTTTTCGATCTTTTCGATTTTTTAGTGTAAAAACTCCATCTGTGCAGGATCTGCCGACTCTAAACCCATTCTGCTCCTCCGACTCGTCAAATTCTCTTTCCATTCGAAGTTTCAATATTCGCCCATATACTCTTGCTACCGTGCTCAAAACACTAATGCCCCTGTAGTTATTGCAGTCTCTACGGTCCCTTTTTTGAAAATAGACACATGGACATATGGCAACAGGTAATCGATTAAATTTACAAGAAAAAAAAAACAGAAAAGATCCACTGGTTCTCAAAATTTAAGCAAGAAATAACTGTGTTATTTTGGACTTATTTGAGAAATGGTAAGGAGAGAGTCCCTGAAAATATTTGTACTTATTTTACTTTAGACTCACCCTGTATAAGGTATGGCAAAATTCGCTTTTTTTACTTTATCAAATGAGTTATTTAATAAATACTGCTGAAGACTAACCTTTTGAAATAATTTATAATGATGAGACATTAATAGTTATTTATGATACTAGTGCTCTGACATATAAGCCACGCTGGGAAATGTTTAGCCCTGGAGGCCCTAGGCTGAGAGGGCTAATTTTCTCAAGTGACTTATATGTTCTAACACGCGAGTGCCATACAAAATTTTATCCAACATCAGAACCGTCTCATGTCCAATCTCTAAAGAATAATTGTTTTAAAAGGATCTACCAGTTCTACTTTCATTGTTGCGAATTAATAAATTATCAGGGTGCGTTTATGTTACTATGCAATATAGATGTGCGTTTTGTTTTTTTGGTAAATAATAAATGGCACTGACATTAAGAATTAAGACGTCATTTAGATAAAATTTTTAAAGAAAAATGATACAGGAAGAGATCTTCCGCAAAATATTATTCACCAGGCAGGGGCGGCTACAGCACAAATACTGGCAGAAAAGTCTCGTGGCGTATATGATACCAAACCAATACATTTTTTGCAACATCAATACAATAATTGTGTAGAAATGAGAAATTAAATAACCAAACTACTCACCGACACGAAGAACTGACACCTTAAAATTTTCATGTATTTAAAGTTTTATATAATATTGTGTTCTAGTAGACCGATTTTGATGTTTTTTAAGCAATTTGTAGCTAACTTATATGACGTTTTAATGTTTTTTTCTAAATTAAAAATGAAAGTTGCTATCTGTCAAATATACGAGGGAAAACAAAATGTTGATATTTTGTGAAAGTTTGAAACACCCTGTGGAGTATGTTGACAAAACAAGGAATTTAAAAATCATTTTATCATCTAGGTGTATCTTTTCTCGATAGTTTGTTTTTTAGTTCATCTCAATAGCTCTATTTCTCTAGAGATATTGGCTTTTGAAGAAGACACTAACATTTTTTTGTATTTTTTATATTAAAGCTTTGCTTTCGGTCATAGTAATAGCCTTTCTGTAATGTCTGTCTTCAGACTGAACATTATCTGCAGGTGATTAAAAATGATTACAGCTCATGCACTTTTAATCACCTGATGGTGCTAACAAGGATAGCAAAACCCAAGTCCAAAGCTATACTATACAACAGCCTACAGCCTTATATTTATAAAACAAGTTTATACGAATTCAACCTATGCAAACATTTTATTTTAATGAAGATTTTTTTTACATGTCGAAAACCCAGCATAATAGACAAAGCATCTTATCTCAGTGTCTGCAGCAAAAACTTGTAACGTTTTTAGTTCGTTACATGTCTTTTTTATATATAATATATGATGTCTGGCCTATCATCACCGGATTCCCTCTCGTTCAGGCCGGATAGTTTATTTGACGCCTAATTTTTACGTTCCCTAGTCGCCAACCCTGTTATCCTTCGACACAACCCTGTTATCGCTCTGAGGAGGCGCTGTCAACATCGCTTCTGTCAACTCTCTCCGTGCTTAACCTCACTTTGTTTAGACGCCATTAGTCCCAGTTTTTTAGAAATGGTGATTATTTAAATCTTGCTGTATAATTTGAATCAGCTGCTATTTCGAGGCTACAGGGTAGAGTTACGGATGTCCCAACTTGTATTTGTGTTTTGCTGGCACGTTGGCGTCCCTTTTCTTTTGTTCTCCAGAATGTCACATGGAAGAAAGGACATGTTGTTTATTATTTATTGAGCCAAGGTACGGACTGTGTCCAAGGTACGGGTAGTGTCTTATGTACGGACATTATCTTATGTACGGATGTCCTGTGGACGAGTGTCCCCAGTAAGAACGATTTTTTCTTACGTATAAGTGCCACAGCGTGGATGTAGCTTGAGTCCCATGCTGCTTCGTTCCCAGCTGTAAGCTAGTTAGTTACGGCTGTATCAATTCATGGTGCCCTTATTCTGGCCCCTTTGGTTGTGTTGGATGGCTGAGTACAGAGATGCGAGACCACCTCACGCTGTTACTGTTTAAAGCAAGATTACATAAAGAACAGCTAAGTGTAGATTTAAGTTATAGTTTTACATTTAACATTTAAAACATTTACAGTCTTAAACAATAACGTACATCTTAAATAATATCGTACAGACTATGTTTAGTGGTTAGTTGTTAAGAACATTCATGTCGATTTAATATTTAATATAAGAATTAATATTAAATATAATTTAGATCTTAGGTTTCATTGCATTAGATCTTGTAATGGTATTACTTTTATAGATATTATTATCGCACTATTTTAACAGAGGAATAACCAAACATAGATTCTAGAATCTACAGGTTGCAACATCTTCGATTTGGCATCATATGGAATATATCAAATTAATTAAAGTAATGCTACATTTCATATATTCTCTTAAACTTTACATGTCTTGTATTTTATGGTAGTTGTTTTCATTGGTATTTAGTACGACTCTTACCACCACTTTCTTTGACATATAACCACTATATATTTATTAGAACTCTACAATGTCATGTACCATCTAAGAACATCATGAATAAATATAGTCATTAGTTTTAAGTAATATACAACTGTGTTTTCTTTCTCTGTACATGCCTGGCGCCCAATATCTATTTTTTTGTTTATTGTTCTTAATTAGTTTTCTTTCCAGTGAAATACCTTATCCACGACTGCTCTCCGATGAAAAGCTGCCGTTCGCAGTGGTAGTTCTAAAAAAAACGCTACAAACTTCCTTGATACACGTTGAGCTTGTTTAGGTAGCACTTAATAATCATAAGTCCTGTTGTAGAATTTTACACTACGGGTCATACATTTAGATATTCCCAGTACTGGCTCTGTGTCTCTGTACCAAGATAGCATACCGATGATTTTTGCCTTGCTTTGAGCACATTAATATATCACATAATATGTCACTGCGAGGTTCTGGATCCCAAGCGACACTTCCTTTTTGGGAAAGCAAGTGTAGAACCGGAGGGACTAAGATACCATCCTATCAAGGACCTGTACCGGCTGGTACAGGACACAGTATACTCTCTGGGTAAGTATAGACATAGAGAGGGGAAAACACACCTTAGACCTTACAGGTAGCAGTGTTTCCGGCATAGGACAGCCCCTTAATATTGAGGAAAAAATCACAATAAAAATTTCGATTAAATTTTAGCAGCTGATTTTTCAGCTGCTAAAATTTAATCGAAATTTTTAAAATTAAATTTTTTTAAAAAAATCCTTTTGGCCAGTAATAACACAATGATTTTTATAGAACAAAAATCAAACCGAAACAGTAAAGTATAAGCTATAAAACCACTCTATAGAAAAATCATATTCGATAAAAATATTGACCGTCATAAAACCTATCGGACTAAAACTGAAGGTAGCTAGACGACGCCCTTCGATTTATCACGTCTGTTGACTTTATATTTTATTCCCAACTTTTTTATTAAGTTCGAACTTGCACAGTGGCATGACGACGACGCCGGGTATTGAGTTTCATAAAAAATGATGTGTATACAACATGTGACATGACTTATTATAGAACGGCAGATGGCTTTCTGGAAAAATATAGGATTTCCTTTTGATGCGACATGAATTTCAGTCTGTTTCGCTTTATGTATGTCGCGTTTCTTCGAAATAATAGGTTTTTGTGTTTGAGAGTGCTGTTGTGTTTGATTTCACGTTTACATTATTTTTATTCTAGAAATAGAGCAAGAGAAATTTTATATAAAACATATTAAATTTTTATTGTTCTTTTTAACAATCTAAATAAATAAAATAAAGGCGGGTTGGTTACACTATTTATAAGTGAAGAACAGATATACAGGGTGGCGCCTCTCATACGACGCGGAGGCACAAATTGTGGCGGAGATTGTAAGTGTAACAACAGAATATTAATAAAAAATGCAAAATATATAGACATACTATCCCTAACTAACTAAAGCCAAATAATAATATTCTTTGCTGATATCAACTAATATCAATATATGGCAACAGCGCCCTTCATAATGTATTTTCTGTGTAAATACTAGCACCTCAATAAAAAAAATAATGTGTCCTTATCTTTATATGACTCCACAAAAAATCAAAGATGCCGGCTTCTTTCATAGCATTGCCACCGCTATCGGGATTC